AGAAGTACGACAATTCCTTACCCTGCAGAAGGGCTCCTTGGCTTGGATTTCCTTTGCCCCGATGAGTTTCAGCCCTGGGACGTTGTTCTGCAGCCCCCTCTCATACAGAGCCTTGAGCCTCGGAATTTCATCCTGTTCCACGGCCACAATCAGCTTTGGGAGAGACAACAAGGCACAGCAGTGAGCAAAACACACAGAGAGCCAGGGCAGGTCTGGCATCGAGCCCAAGCAACAGGGAATGAGTGAACAGGGAATTATATAAATCAAGTGTGGGAGGGGAAATGGTTGGTTGCACAAGATTCTATAATTTAATATTATTGCTGACAAAGCACTAATATATTATGGAGAGTGAAAAAACAAACGTTAAACTGCAGTTTTAAGTTCCTGTCAATGGGTAATATTTGCTAAAAGTACCACGAGACTACAAATCTGAACGTGAAAGAAGAGAATATGAATTTAAAGAGCCACTGGGATGTTTCAAAAATAAATAAAACTGAACTTAACCCAAGAGGTACAAATCTCAGTCTCAATAAGAGAATAAAGGTATGTTCTGACACAGTGACTGCACCAGCTCCACTTCATTTACCCATATGGAGTTTGCTCACAACCACCACAGGAGGTGGATTACCTTGAATTACCTGTGCCAGGTTTGCACAGACCATAATACTTCCAGGCCTAGCTCAGGTCTGGCCCACAGGCATGAAGCTCTCTAAGCCTGGGGCTGCTTTGTGCAAAACTTCCTGTAAAGCCTCACCATCCTCTTCCCTGGAATGAACACTGCCAGGGAAGTATCATAGAATCATGGAATTGTTTGGGCTGGAAAAGCCCTCTAGGATCACAAGTCCAACCACCCCCCAGCACTGCCAAGGCCACCACTGCCCCATGTCCCCCAGTGCCACATCCCCATGGCTGTTAAATCCCTCCAGGGATGGGGACTCCACCACTGCCCTGGGCAGCTGTGCCAGGGCTGGACAACCCTTTCCATGAAGAAATTTTTCCCAATATCTAATCTAAACTTCCTTTGGTGCAACAAGTGATCAGAAAAAGCCGTCTCAGCCTCACATATAAAATGATGAAATTCAAAGTTATCCCTCAGGGCCAAGACCTCGGGGTTAGGAGAGACAATCCTAGGGAAACAGCAGCCTAGTGATGGCTGGAGAGCCCTGAACTGAATTTTAGGAACAATTAGGAAAAGGATATGAGATAATAAAGAGAACTCTAGTATTTCACTGCAGAACCCCAGAGTCTGACCACACCTGGAATGCTCTGCACAGCTCCGGTCCTTGCCTTGTACCCAAGACACACTGAACTAGAAATGGTGCAGAGCACAAAGACAGGACGGGGAGAGCCATGAAAAAGCTGCTCCAAGAGGAATGACAGCAGAGTAAGACTCACCAGCTGGGAAAGAGGATTTTGGGGGAAGAGGAGATATTAAATTATGTGCAGCTTGGAGAGTGTGAGCCCAGATCAACAGTTCACCACCTCCTCCAGCACAAGGGCCAGGGGCCATTGGGTGAAAGTTGTAGGAGCCAGTTCCAAAATGATGTAACTCCATGCAGGGGGTTGTTGATCTCTGGAAGTGCTCCTCAAAGTGTGCTCTGATGCAAAAGATTTTAATGGAAAGACACTTGGAAGAGAAATTCATTGAGAGTTACCACAGACAGAAGAGCTCAGGCTCAGAACACAACCTGAGCTGAACACAGTTGGAAGCTTGGAGAATTAATAATTTGCTTGTCATTTCTCCTTCCTTCCTGGGTCTCTGCTTACAGACAACTCCAGAAACGGGATATGGGGTTGGGGAGACCCCAGACTGAATCAGTGCAGCCACCCTTCTGTGGTGGGTGGGTGTAACATGGGATGAACACGTGGAGCTGGGGCACATCTGGAGTGGTTTTCAAGTCACTGTGACTTTTCAGAGCCTCATATGCCAGGAAGTTTGGCCAGCACACACTGAAAGTCCGTGTGATCCTTGGAGCTACACAGGTGCCCCTCCATGGGAGTTGGATTCCACCATTACCCGGGATCAGAGAACTCCCTGAGCTGGAAGGGATCCAAAAGGATCATCCAGTCCAACCCCTGGCCCTGCCCAGGACACCCCAACAATCCCACCCTGTCCCTGAGAGCATTGTCCAAACCCTCCTGGAGCTCTGGCAGCCTTGGGGCCGTGCCCACTGCCCTGGGGAGCCTGGGCAGTGCCAATCACGCTATGGGGGAAGAACCCTTCCCTGAGATCCAACCTGACCCTGCCCTGGCACAGCTCCAGCCCTTCCCTTGGGTCCTGTCTCTGGAGAGAGAGGGATCAGGGCTGCCCCTCCACTGCCCCTCATGAGGAAGTTGTGATTCCATAATTCTATTCCAGCTCAGCCCACAGATAAGGAGAATTATTATTTAGACCCAGAAAAGCAACTGATTTGAGCTGCTGGAAACAAGAAAACAAAAGGGGATATTCATCCCGAAGGCAGTAAGTGTTGCAGAAACTCCTGTTTTTGGGAAAAGACCACAACCAGGCCTATGCTACACATCACACAGCCTCAGTTTCCAAAGGTAAGGTAAGAACAGACAGGAATTCCTGTACCTTCCCACACCGTTTGTATGGAATTCCCTTCTGGTCACAGTACTGGTAGCAGAGGGCTGCACCCTGCACACACAGCTTGGCCTTCAGGGAGCCAGGGGTGTAGTAAATCCCACTGTGGATCACACCACTGTTATTTCCACTCTGGTGATGAGCTAAAGAGAAAGGAAAATACATTATTAAAATACATTTGTTCACACTCAATCACTTTCAGCTGCCTGAAAAGCGGGTTGTTTGAGGTCCTGCCTTAAATCAGCGTTGCAAGAGATGCTCAAATGAGTAACTGCACAGCAAACACAATGAATTCCTCCCTTGGTCTCAAAAGGTTAGAGAAACACTGACACAGCATGACTTGGTTAATGATAATCCATCCCACCTTACAATGTGCTGGATCAAGAGGGATGAAAACCCCCAAAATCCACAAGTTTCTCCTCCAAGAGCAAATAAATAAAATAAATAAGATAAAAATATTTTACGTGCTAAAATTAAAGAAATCTAATTTTTACAACTAAATGTATCCGTCCCCTGGGGTTCCTTCAGCTCCCTGCAGGACCTGCCCTTGCCCTTCTACAACCTGCACTGCTCCGTACTCTGGTTGTTCACCCTCCTTGTCCTCTCTCCTGACATTCCTGAACTGCTGGAGCCCCAGGAGTCAGACCTGCAGCTCTCAGACAGTGAACATTCAGGGTTTTTTAACTTAAAGTTTGACACTAAGTTTAAAGTCTGACTTCAGCTTAAAGTTTGACTTGGAAGTCCCAGCAGTGAAGCACAGACTGATGAAAACTCTGCTCTTCCACTGAAGGATGTGTCCTTGGGAGAAGAGCAAAAGGAATTTTTTGTTAGGGTAAAGCCAGCGGTGCCAGGAAATGAAGATGCTGGTCCCAAGGGGAGAATCATCACGGAATCCCAGAGTGGTTTGGGTTAGGAGGGATCTTAAAGCCCATCTCATTCCACCCCCTGCCATGGGCAGGGACACCTTCCACTATCCCAAGTTGCTCCAAGCCCCGTCCAACCTGGCCTTGGACACTTCCAGGGATGGGACATCCATCACCCACTTCAGTGACAAGGGCTCTCCCACAGCAACTACAGGGATGTCCATGAAATCCTGAGGTTTTGGCAGCGTGTGCTTTGGCACAGCCTCTGGAAGGACCGGTCACCTCACCCGCTCCGTACCCAGCTCCTTCTCCTTCTCCAGCACGGCGAAGGACAGCGAGGGGTGACGCTGGATGAGCTCCCGGGCTGCTGCCAGTCCCACGATCCCGGCACCCACCACCACCACGTCAAAAGTGCTGCGGAGACACGGACACGGCCGTCAGGGGAGAGGGGAAAGGGGGTACAGGGAATACAGGGATGTAGGGAACATAGGGGACAGGGGATATAGGGAGTGTAGGGGATAGGGAACAGGGGAAAAGGATAGGGAGTAGGGGAACGGGATGGGGGATAGCAGAAGGGGAAGAGGATGGATATAGGGGATATAGGGGATATAGGGGATAGGAAAAAGGAGAAAGGGGAAAAGGATAGGGAGTAGCAGAACTGGATGGGGGATAGGAAAAGGGGAAGAGGACAGATATAGGGTATAGGGGATATAAGGGAAAAGGGAAAAAGATAGACAGTAGAGGAACAGAATAGTGGACAGGAGAAGGGGAAGAGGACAGGGATAGGGGATATAGGGAATATACAGGATATAGGGAATAGGGGACAGGGGAAAAAGGTAGGGAGTAGGGAAATGGGATAGGAGATAAGAGAAGGGGAAGAGGATGGATATAGGGGATAGGGGATATAGGGGACAGGGGATATAGGAAATATACAGAATACAGGGAATATAAGGACAGAAGAAAGGGGAAAAGGATAGGGAGTAAGGGAATGGGAGAGGGATAGGAGAAGGGGAAGAGGACAGAGAGAGGGGATAGGAATAGGGAAAGGGGATAGGGGATATAGAGGATAGGGGATATAGGGAATAGGGTGAGGGGAGAAAGGATATAGGGGATAGAGGATATAGGAGATAGAGGAAGGGGAGAAGGGATATGGGGAGGGGAGAGGGGAAGCGGAAAGGTAAAGGGAAAAGGCAAAGGATAAGGGAAATGGATAAAGG